TATATCTAAAAAGTAGTACACTTTTTAAAGCTTAGATTTATTCTAATCTTATTAAAAGTTATATAAATATTAAACTTAGTAAAAATTACTACTTTTATTAGTTTTAATAAAAGTTTATCTATACACAGTATTAAATATATATTTTTATAAGTAAGAGCATTAAGTTTATAGTAATTAATGTAGATACATAAGTTACTATTAGGTTTTTATACATAAAAAATAAAAGATGTAAAAAGGCTTTAACTTTACTTAATAAAGCTATATATAAGATTATTTATAACATATTTCTTTATTACTTCTAGCTCTTTAACATTTTGTTTGTATAAAAGGCTGTAACTATTAAGTAGAGGCTCTATAAAAACAATTATATAGTTATATAAATAATGCACTAGTAATTAGTAAGCTGTAGTGTAGCTAAATACATCTTAGTACTAGTAGTATTTATAGAGTAATTAGAAGTTTACTAATACTTTAGTTTTATGTTTACTGTTTAACTATTATGCTTACTTATCTTTAATTAAACACTTAATTTTATAAATAAAAGTTAAACAGAACTTCTTCTTTTTTCTTTTTATATTAACATAAACAGCATTTACTAAGATGAAAGTAATAGTAGCTAAATAAATATTTTTTAGACTTATTATAAACTTTTTAGTAGAGAAGTAAAAAAACAATTTAAGCATTTTTAGACTATAAGTAATAAAAGATCTGTATAATTTTAGTAGCCTTAGCAAACCCTTAATATAGTAGATTATTAAGCTATATAACTACTAAAAATAGTCCTTTTTCTATAGTGTATTATGTTGTTTAATATCTAACTCTACTTCTTTATTATGTGTAGGTTAGGTTAATTATATAAGTAAAAGTAGTAAAAGTTACAAGTAGTAAAATACTTAACGTACCTAACAGGTTGGCCGGCCACACAGGTTGGCTGGCTACTTTTGCCAAGCCCCCACTAAAACCACCCTATTCTAGTGCAAAACAGCCCACTTTAGCCCTATATAAAGCAATACAACACAAGATATTATTTAAAGTCTACTTCTACTACTTGCTTACATGTACACAAGTTATGCCTAGTCTAATTGCACTGCCTACATTGCCTTTAACTTAGCTTACCTCCTTTAGCGCGCACCTGCGTCTTTAGCTTCTTCCTATTACTACGCGCTCTAAACTCCTTTAAAGCAGTTAGATAAGCTCTATTCTTAACTATTAAGGTCTTTTCTACCTAAATCTACTTTCTTTTATGTAATTTACATTATATAGTAGCTGTAACGATTCTTATGAATTATAATAAAGTTTAATTATACTTATAATTAAACTTTATTATAAACTTAGAGCCTCTATAGCTTACAACTATCTAGACTAGGACCTATCCTAGACTATTATTCTATATTCCTACTATTGCTTAGCTACATCTTCTTCTTTTTCTACTTTATATATTCTAACGTCCTACTATTAAGAGGTGGTTAATGTATATTACCTTTTACTTTTTTTTTATCTACTTTTAATTGTGTTTATGTTACTATAGTACTACCCTAGCTATCTCTTAATACCCTTAAACCTCTACTAGGGAAATACATCTAGTCTTCTCTACCTAAATAACCCCTTAGTCCTAATAATAAGATATTAGAACTAAAAGACATATTATTTAATAATAATTTTAATAACTTAAGAGATAATAATTCTAATAATATATATAATGTCTTATATAACTCTCTTAATAGCTAATTAAATAACTTTATAAGATAGCTTTAAAGTCTAAAGTAAATACACTATTTTTATGTTTAGTATAAATTTACCTCTTATAATAGCTAAACTTACTTATGTTAGGTTAATTTCTAAATACCCTCTAGCACATCCTAGTAGCTATATAATAGTAATTAATATAAGTAACTTTTATAGTAACTGTAAACTGCTTATTAAAGCTTTATAGGTATATATTTATTAAACTTAAATAGATTTTAATTCTAATAAATTTAAAGCATAATACATAGTACTTCTTTAACTAAAAAGTGTTATAGAAGCTAACTACATCTACTTACTTAGGTGTCCCCTGTATGCGCTAGACTATGCAGTGCAAAGGCATTAAAGCTTACTAGTATATATGTCCTAGCTTGCTGCATATAACACACACACATGTTACAACTTACACATAGAAAATAATTATAAATAAAAGGGCTTTGTTTAAGGTTCTTAAGACCTCTAGCTACTTTAATAAAATAATAAAGTATTACTAAGTACTAAAAAAGATGTAAGCTAAAAAAAGCTATTAGTAAAAGTAACCTAATTATAAGTACTAATTAAAAAAGTAAAGAGAACCTATAAGTATATTTAATTTACTTAAGTTGTTTATACTAATAAGATTTAGAATGCCTATAGTTGCCCTTAATACTATATTAAGTGCTGTAATAGACGCGCTAATGTATTAATCTATAAGGACTATTTCTAGTAAGGTATTAACATAGTAATAATTCATTATAATCTATTATATAATCTAATCTAGAATAGATGTTCTTTAGACACACTAGCTAATTGCTGTATTATAGAGCTAGTTAGGTTAAACATAGCCTTTTATAGTAAGTCTATCTTTTCTTATTCTCTTTTATATTATGCTTATAATGTGTTTAGGAATAGATTATCTACAGGGCTAAGACAAAATAGTACATTATAATAACTATAAGTGTAAGGTTGTAGTGCAAATACTTAACAACCTTATTATGTTACCTTATGTACTTATAACCTAAATTAGAACTTATTTCTATAGCCCTTTTACACTAAAGAAGACCTTTATTAAATACATAAAGTAGTTATTTACTATATGCTATAAGCTTCTTTGCTTTAACCTTATACTTAGTAAGCCTATGCCTTAAATTATTAAGGTGTTTTTAATCCTATGTAGCCTAGTTTAAAGCTAGCCTAGAGCTATAAGAGTAGTACTGCTAGCCTTAGGCTTTAACCCCTGGAGAGGTGCATGCTAGCCTTAACAACCTATCGCGAATACGCTAGTATATATAGAAGGAGAAGCTTCTACGCTAGCCTAATAGGCAAAGCCTTGCTAGTGTATTATTTAAATATAAGTAAAATTATAAAGGCAAACCTAATTTAGTATAGAACAGCATTAGATTTATTTTTATTATGCATGCTAATAAGCTGTTAAACAGGCATATATATAAGGGATTAAATACAGGAAGTTTAGTGTTATAATATTCTACTTTTATAAGAAGCAAGCTAAGGTCTTTCTTAAATAAAAATATTTAAAATAAACATATTATATAAGTGTGTGTATAACTTTTTTTTTAACAAAATTATTTTTGCATGCATGTTACTAAGACATAGTAAAAGTAAGTTAATTAAAACTTTATAAAAACATATTACTAATATTTTTATAGTATTTACTCTTACTTAAGTGCTTATAAATGTTAATTACTATAAGACATACTAAATTACATTTAAAAGACTCTTTAAACTACGTAAAAAGATTATAAAGTGTAATATTAAATAAAAACACATTTATAGAAGTAGATTTGCAGCTATAACTATAGACATAAATAAGAAGCAGATAGCTAGTAAGTAATCCTATTTAGCACTAGTCCTAGACTAGTCTCTAACGCAAGTATATAGGGTTTAGAATGTATCTAGCTAAGCTTAATCCTGTACAGAAGAATTAGCGCATTTATTGCATAAGCTACATGCTTTTCTGCTATGTACACTTTTATTAAAGCATCCCTTGTGTAGTAGGGACTAGAGATAAGACTGCTTACTATTAAATTATAATAGCAGACCTAATTACTGCAGTAGACAAGAATAAATATATTAAGCTTTATACTAAACTTTAAAGTATAACCTTTTTATAAGCTTGCTTTTACTATCTAATAGTAATTTAACAGCAGATAACACCCTGCCTAGTATTACTTACTAGGCAAAGCATAAGAAGCACCTAGTAATTAAAGCAGGTATAAATAACACTTACTTTCTTCTTCTAATTACCTTTATAAAGGCTTTATAACTTTATATTAATGCAGTAAAATAGACAGGCTTAAAGTTAAACTTATATAGTAGGTAACTTTATTTTTTACTAGCTATTCTTAGGTACATTCTCTAATTGCCTTTAATACACCTTATATACGCTGCTAATAACACTGCAGTGTTATAGCGCTTAACGCTTATAATTCTTTGTAATATTAGGCCTAATTAATCTTTAGTATCTTTTATACTAATAAAAATACTTTTAGTGCTGCTTATTAGTATAATTTTGTAGTCTATAAAAGTTCTACCTTTTTTATATTAAGTTTTAAAGTAATTACAGTCTAATTTATATTAAATACTTTATAACATTAAATACTTAATAAAGTAGATATAATTAATTTTACTTAAGATAATAATATTATTTTTACTATAAATACTATTAAGTATTTTTATTATAACCCTACTATATTAACTTTTTAGAGTTAAAATAAGCAGTTAAACTTTTTTATATTATCTACTTCTTCTTTTAAAGTTATAAAGAGCCCTTTAAAGAAACAGTATACTGTCTAGCTCTTATTTAATTAATGTTTACTACTAATTTACTCTTGTAATAGCTTTACTACATCTTTAAAAGTTGCACTAGCAGCACTAAGGTATACACTTTGCCTTGTATACTTATAATAGCTATTCTAACAGAATAAGTTCTTTTCTATTAATAGATATTGATATTGCTTAGTAAGAAAGAATTATTGCTCTCTTAGCGCAAGAGGTAGACCTATGTTAGCAACTTTAAGATCTCTTATAAGAAGAAAGTTAGGCATTGTTAAGCAAGGACTAGCAGTAGTTTGGTAAATGTTACTCTTAATAGTGCTTTAACAGTGTTGCATTAGTGTTTAGCAGAAGCAAGACAGGTGCAGGACTTGTCCTAGACTTAATAATTACAAAAGGTTGTGTAATATTTAATTTAAAACTAGATAGGGAGCTTTTGTACACTAACTCTAGTTGTTCTTGGGCCGAGATGCACCAGTCACGACTTAAGCAGGGGGCATCGGAGTTCGTCGGGCTGGTGCAATGCCGAGCCTCCGATGGTGCACCTTTGGCGTTTTATCCATGCAGCCTGGCATGAGTGGAACCTTTGCCAACCACGTGACGGGCCGGAGGCCCCCGGCTGGCGAAAGACAGATTAGGCATAGGTTGCCTGCAGTGACCGCAGTGCCCGCAACGACCGCAGCGCCAAGACCTGCAGGCACTGCAGACAAAACACAAGTATATAGTTAGGACTGCGGCCATTATTTAGAAGGCTGTGATCAATGCTGTTAGATTGAAGCACTGTTTCTAGGCTTCCTAAGATGAATGATGGGTTTGGATATGATGTATGGGATGATGATTGATTGTATTAATTGATTGATCTTTTTTTGTCTGCTCTGCTTGTGTTGCTCGGCCTTGTTTTTCTGGTCTGAGTCCCTCGCGCACTAGCCCTATGCGCGACCAGCTTGGAACATGCTGCAATTTGTTGCAAAATACTGCAAAATGCTGCAACATGCAGCAATTTGCAGCAACATACTGTTTAAGCCTATTGCTTGTACTATGTAGCAGCTTTCGTCCAGCGTTCCTCCTGTCTTGACAGTAGGTGCGCATATCTGACAAATGCATTAAATTATTACCTACTACCTAGTACTATTAATTAAGGGAATATTCTATTCAAAACAAACTCCTTTACTATCCCCCTGCACGGATTGTTACCCTTGGCTCCTTATACAGCCGGAAGTGGCTTCTTATACAGCTAGAAGAGGCAAACTAAGTAGCCAAACCTGAATACCCTAAGCACGACGACAGTACGGACTGTACACCTGCGACCTAGTCTGCCCTTTCTCCCGCCTCCTCTTTCCTCTCCCTTTCCTCCTACCGACTCCAACGGCTCGCGTACTTAGAGTGACGACTAACCTAATTAACTTAGCGCACCTAGCAAGTAAGTATTGTAACAAATACTTAGCAAAGTAGTATTAGACAGGTAATAGACGCATAACAACAACATTTAACTGCAGCACTTCTTTAACTGCTGTTTAAATATAATAGACTAATGCTTAGAGGTATTAGTAAAAGATTACCTAGCAGCGTTAGGAAATGTATAAAGTAAATTGCAGCAAATTGCAGTAAACTACAGTAAATTGCGGCAAACTATAGTAAATTGCAGCTAACTACAGTAGATTACAGCAGTAGGCAGCAATCTCTAGTAGATATTAGTTGTGTTGCAAGTAGCTCTATGTATAGAGAGGGTTCTAGGTGTAACAATTCTTATGAATTGTTCTATCTTAGGTTGCTTGGAACCTCTAAAAGGTCCTTATATTAGCCCCCTGCTATACTTCTATTCCCCTAAGTATTTAGTTGCACCTCTCCTCTTAGCTAGCTTAGTAGCTTTCTGATATCCTTTTGTACAAGGCCTATAGGTGTTAATAGTATTCCTAGGTTATTAAGTCCCTACGCACTCCTATATGCCTCTAAGTGGATTCCTACCGCATTTAGACCTATTGTCTTGCCTGCGCTGTTATACTAGGGGGGTAATGCCTCTAGAAAAAAAGCTTTAAAACGGGCAGCAATAATTGCGCATAAGCTAGTGTTAGTGTAATAGGAAGTTACTACGCTTTAAGCAGCTAATAAGGCAGCTACATTTAGAAAGACCTGCGCTTAACAGCTGTTAAAGAGTTTAGGGCGCGCAGTAACAGGACAAAGGCAAAGAAGCAGGTGCAAGCTGAAGTAGGTAAGCTATCCTAAAGGCGCTGCAGACAGTGCAATTAGACTAGGCATAACGCGCAAATGTGTAAGCAAGAAGTAGAAGTAGTATCTAAATAATATTCTAGTCTGTACTGTACTTTATAGTACTAGAGCGGGTTGTTATAGGCTATAATAGAGTTTGTTGTGGTGTGGTCTTGGCAAAAGTAAGCAACTCAGGTGCCAATCCCCGACACACTAATGTGGCTGATGCCAATCCCCGACACACCAATATGGCTGATGCCAATCCCCGACACACCGATGTGGCTAGAGAGGTGGAATAGACGCAACTAACCATAATTTACACAACGCATGCTAGAGCAAACTGCGTGCAAATTAACATAAAGGTGCACTTATATTAGGTATACATTTTTTTTTAAAAAAGAATGTTAGAAATACATAAGGTGACAGAGAAATAGCGTTACTAGGGTTTATCTAAAGAAATTCTAACTAACTAGCGCGTCTAAAAGAGGAGATTCTGCTAAACTTTTTGTTCTGCAAACCTGAATATAATAAGCAGAGCAAGCTCTGCTAATAATAAGCCTTAATGTAAAGTTATGCACTTTATTACTACTACTACTTATACATAACAAGCTCTAGTAGTTATAAACTCTTAGAAATACTCTAAAACTTAGGTTATAATTAATGCTTATAAAAATAAAAATTTAAAAGCATATAAATAATTTACTAACTTCTATAGTTAAAGTGTTTAAAAGGGTTTTAAAAAGTGCAGTAATAATTATGTATAAGCTAGTGTTAGTGTAATAGGAAATTACTAAGCTTTAAAAAGCTAATAAAGCTACTGCATAACATAAATTACATAAAAAAAGTAAATTAAGGTAAAAAAAACCTAAATAATTTAAGAAGGCCTACGCTTAACAGCTTTAAAGGAGTTTAAAGCGCGTAGTAACAGAAAGAAGGTAAAGAAGCAGGTGTAAGCTAAAGTAGGTAAGCTATTCTAAAGGCACTGCAAATAGTGCAATTAGACTAGGCATAACACACAAACATGTAAGTAAGAAGTAGAAGTAGTATCTAAATAATATTTTAGGCTGTACTGTACTATATAGTGCTAGAGCAGGTTGTTATAGGCTATAATAGAGTTTGTTAGGGTAGAGTCTTAGCAAAAGTAAGCGACTTAGGTGTGTGAGCAACTCGCCTGTAAAGTACGTTAATAGCTTTACATAATAAAGTTTTATTATAAAAATCTTTATATAAAGTAACATACTAGTCCTTAACTGATATATTGTTATTATAAAAGTTGTTTAATAACTAACTTTTTTTTATAGTAGATAAAGCACTTTTTTATTTATATGCAGTTGTCTTTAAATTATAGCCTAAACTTAAATAAGAATCTTCTATATTATTTCCTTCTGCGTAGAGGGAAGCTTTTCTTTTATTATACAGAGTTGTATTAGCAGTCTATGTAGTATACATTAGGCAGTTTCTAAAGGTATTAGTTTACCTTTTAGTCTATAGTAACTTAAAGTAATGCTTATAAGTTACTAAATAAAGCTTTATATAAAGGCGTAATAGTAAACATAGTATGTTCTAGTTCTAGTTCTCCTTAACAGGCTTATATAATAGTAGTGTGCAGTAGAACATCTTTTTAAAATTTTATTCTTAGTGCTTTTTATATAAGTGTAAGCTTTTTAATTATTATGTTAAAAACTTTATAACGTACCTAACGGGTTGGCCGGCCACACAGGTTGGCCGGCCACTTTTGCTAAGCCCCTACTAAAACTACCCTATTCTCTCGCAAAACAGCCTACTTTAGCCCTGTATAAAGTAATACAACACAAGATATTATTTAGAGTCTACTTCTGCTACTTACTTACACATATATAAGTTATGCCTAGTCTAATTGCACTACCTGTATTACCTTTAACTTAGCTTACCTTCTTTAGCGCGCACCTGCGTCTTTAGCTTCTTCCTATTACTACGCGCTTTAAACTCCTTTAGAGCAGTTAGACAAGCTCTATCCTTAACTATTAAGGTCTTTTCTACCTAAATCTACTTTCTTTTATGTAATTTACATTATGTAGTAGCCTTATTTACTACTTAAAGCTCTGTAATCTTCTTTTATGCTAACACTAGCTTATGCGCAATAATTACTGCCCTTTTTAAGACTTTTTTAAAGGCTTCTACTACAGACGTTAGTAAGCTATTTACATGCCTTTAAATTTTTACTTTTATAAGTGTTAATTATAACTTAAATTCTAGAGCATTACTTAGAGTTTACAACTACTAGGGCTTATTATTAATAGGTAGTAGTAGTAATAGAGTATATAACTAGATATTAAGGGCTATTTTAACTTATTCTAGGTTAAATAGGACTAAACTAGCGCTTTAAAACCCTTCTTAGATATTACTAAAAGTAATTACTGCATTATAGGCGTGTATAAAGCATAGTAAGAACTTAAGTTTTATAATATAAGTAATCTAGTTACACATAAAATCTTTAGCTTAGCGCCTATACACCTTTTTTAAAAGGGTAAAATAACCTACATTAAAAGGCTATAAAAAGTGTAATAAGTGTAAAGGCATGTAAATAGTAATAATCTTATTCTTTTTATAGTACTACTAAAAATTAAGCAAGTTATAGCTCTTATAGCTGTTAATAATAAAGAGTTAATAAGCGCTTACAACCCTTCTTTTTATATGCTTATTAAAGTGCTTTAACTACTGCAGCCTAAGCTTATTTATTATCTAGCTGTTCTTAGAAACTGTAATAACCTAGTTCTAAAGCAGATTCTTCTTTTTATACTAAGTAAAGAGGTAATAGCAGCTTTTAAAAATAATAAAGAGTAAAATAGCTTACCTTATTATGTTAATACTCTAAATAACTATTACCTACTTCTTATTACTTTACTATATTACCTTTAGCTGTCTTTATCTCTCTAAAGCTATAATAACTACTCTAGTTAATATTTAGCTTATTATAAAGCTTAACTTGTTAAAGTTATATATGTCTTTATTCTAGATACTATACTTAGCTTTTATGTTAGCTACTAGGTAAAACTAGCCTTAGATAACCTCTAGATCCTTATAAAGCACTTTTTTATAATTATACTTATAATTAAACTTTATTATAAACTTAGGGCAGTGCTTAACCTACATACTAGGCTAGTTTAAGCTAACCTAGCCTAGATTACGCTCTGCGCGCAAGGAATTAGCTATATTAGCTATAGCTATAAGCCTAAGGGGAAATCTACACGTAATAAGCTTAAGTATGTACTTAACAACTACTTTCTTTTTAAGCTTAGTTAGATTCCTTAATTTAGGCTAGCATTCTGCTTATAAAGGCTGTCTAGCGCGTTAATTACTTAGTGTTGTGTAAAAGATATTATAAATAGCTACAGCGTGTCTTAAGAAGAGTTTTAAGTCTTATTTAAAAGCTTAAAGAGCAAGCTATATCTAACATTCTTTAGAAGATTTAATCTAGTGTTGTTGTTAAGGCATTATGTAGATAGGTAGAGTTTAGTAGGGGCTTAGCAAAAGTAGCTAGCAAACCTGTGTGGCCGGCTAACCTGTTAGGTACGTTATAAACTTTTATTAAAGTTTTTTTATTAGTATTATATAAAAGTTATTATTATTTAGTTAGTCTAGTACTAGCTATAGTTTATATTAGTGTTAAAGTAACTGCTTAAGGTGTTGTATAAATGCTTCTAGTTATGTCTAAAGCCTATGTTTGTTACAATCCTTACTCCGGGGAAATAGTCCTTTCGGAGTACAA